AAACTTGCCCAAGGTTTCGCCCTTTGCCTGGAATTGAACTCAGGTCTCTCGCTTGCCAAGCGAGTGCTCTAACCATTGAGCTACAGGACTGCACAATGGTAATGAGCGGGATCGGAATGGTATCGAGGGAGAAGGTGTTCGGTTTCATGTAGGTTATATTGGTGGTGAGAAAGGAGTGGGAGACAGGTTCGAAGGTATGGAGGGAGGGAAGGGTAGACCCACCCTTTTACTGAGTCCATGACAGATGGCAAAACCTTTCATAACTTTCCCAAAATCCAACTATTATGGTGGTGCTGTGGCCCCCTACCATAGCCTCACTGGGTCTATCCCCTTACTCCTGTGGATCCTACCCTCGAAACAGAGGGTCTTGATTCAGGTCTTCAAGGAGGCAAGGGAGGTGATGAGGCAGAGTTATTTTGAAATGGAGATAGAGAGTGTGGGGGGCAGAGAGGCTGAAAGTGCTCCATTGGGGCAGACAAGGCAGTGGACAAGAAGCAGGGCAGAGTTCGCTGAGCAGAATGAGTGGTCAGATTGATAGCATGTTAGCCATGCTTGTACATCAAGGAGTATAACATTCACATATTCACTATCCCCTTTCACACCTTCTCTCAATCTGTCTCTCTCCATTTCTCTCAATCATCCACATGGGATACCTAAAACACAAACAGAGAGAGTTGGGCAAACTCAGCAGGTCAGGCAGCATCTATGGTGAAAGGAACGTGAGTCAATTTTTCTGGTCCATGAACGACCCTCGTCGGAATCCATCAATGTTGACCTGAAACATTGACTGCTGAGTTTTCCCAGCTTTCTCTTTTTGTTTCAGCTTTCCAGCATCGGCAGTATTTTGTGTTTTGTGGGATGCCTGACTGTCTGACTGTAGCCGGAGCTTGGGAGGATGCGGTTGGTAAGGAGGACCAATCACCGGATAATCACTCACACCCCAACCCTCCCATGCTAGGTGCCACTCTCAATCCAGCAGTTAGAACATCCTGATTTAGGTCATTATATATAAATCAGAATTTTGTGAATTTAACTGTAGTTCATTGGTTAGAGTACTCGCCTTCCAAGCGAGATGCCTGGTTTGTATTATTGGATGAAATGTTCAACAAATTTCCTTAGTTTACGAGCCTGTGTACTTGGCAGTAAGCAGGAATCCGATTGTTAGTCAATTGGCAAATAGCTTTTCTGGAGGTAATAATTCCTTCAAAAAGATATTAAATTGGTCACTTTAATACATTACTGTTTGTGGAACACTGCTGTGTGTGTAATTCGCTGCTGTGTTTTGCCCATAAAATAGAGAGCAAATTCAATTTTACTGTGTATTCTGTGAAGCACTTTGAGAAGACTCGAAGATGTGATGACGGTACACATCAAATGCAAAGATTATTATTATACCTGAAATCTGATTGCTTATTGCAGAGTGAATGTGCCCAGGATTATGTCTGTATATGTTGCCGCTCCTTCAATATGATGACAAAACACACAAACACTTCTATAAAGCTCTCTGAGATGTATTGACAATGTGATGAGGTGTTTTATCCAACGCAAGGTTAATTATTGGTAATACAAAGTACTAAAACACATTGTGTATGTTTCAGATAGGAAGCTTCCACAATACAGAAGCCTTTCATTCCACAATGTGATTTCTCGGAATCTGCGAGACATGTGAACAAGGTACCACAATTCTAACCATTTACAATAAGTTAATCAGCAACTTCTTGTAGATAGAGATAAACTATTTTCTTTGGTGGGACAATCCAGAACAAGGGCACATAATCTTAAAATTAGAGTGAGGCAATTTAGGAGTGAAATTAGGAGGCATTTTTTCACCCAAATTATAGTGAAAGGCTGTGGATGGTGTATCCATTCACATCTTCAAAACTGACGTGAATAGATATTATTTAGGTCAGGATATTAAGGGATATGGGGCAAGGGTGGATAATGGACTTGAGGTACGGATCAGCCATAATTTTACAGAATGGTGGAACAGTCTTAAGGGGATGAATAAATGGCTCCTGTTTCTATGTTTCTATGTTTCGTATGTTTCTAGACAGTATATATTGATAATCATGCATTTGATATAGCACCTTATCACGTCTTCAAGATCTCTCAAAGTGCTCCACTGAATATACTGTAAAGCAATTTGATGGTATATTTTGTGGGCGAAACACGACAGCCATTTGCACACAGCAGTGTCCCAGAAACAGTCATGGATTGAAGTGACTTTTTTTTAAGGAGTTATTACTCCCGAAAAAGCAATCTGTCAGTCAACTAGCAACCGGATTCTTACTTACTGCTAGGCAAACAGAGCTACGTGGAGTAAGACAACTTGCCCAATGATTAGCTATGAATCAAACCCAGGTCTCTCGTTTGTGAGTCAAGTGCTTTAACCACTGAGCCATTTAAATGAATGTAAATGTCATTACACTATCAGAGAGTGCCTGTTCAGCCCTGGATGAAGCTGCAGGGATCCAGTGAGTGAAGTGAAGGAGTTTATTGTCATATTTCCATATATCTGACCAGGTTCAGACAGAACACAGTGTACAACGATAGGTACAGTTTAAGCGCTCTGACACGCTACACTGTGTGGAGGGTGCTATTTAAGTTCAAGTTGTTGTTTGTAGCTCTGGGATGGAGAATAATTTGTGCGTTGAAGTGTGTCAGTGGCCCCGGAGTCTCTGGCCTCTTCTACCATCTAAAACACTTGATATTATACTCCTATACACTCCTTCGTGTAAGCTGATCACCCTTTATAGCTCTAACCAGCTCAGACTTACACTGCTCAAAACCTCACTCGAAGCAGCCAAATCGCTTCCTGTCAATGTGATTGGGGCCATAGGCTCCCTTTTCCTGTCTCTGGGTAGGAGTACTTCACCGTGCTGCCATCTATTGTGTCCGGGGTGTTTCGAGAAGCCTTTATTTGTCCAGGGATCAGGCTCGATGACTCCAATCTCCCAGAGGATAGAATTCAAAATCCTCATCTTTTCTTTTAAAGGTCCTTGCTCCTCCCTATCTCTGCAACCTGCTAACCCCATATCAACCTATCTGATCCTCCTCTCAGCAAGCTGTGGCCTGCTCCATGTGCACCACCTGATCTGCCCATCATTGGCGGTTGGGCCTTCAGTCTCTCTGCCCCCACCCTTTGAAACTTCCCCCCTCTTAGCCACACTTCCTCCCTTGCCTCCTCAAGGCACATCTTAAAACCCTCCTCTTTGACTGAGACAGCAGTCACTCTCCTACCCTCCTCCTTCCCGACCCGATACCCAGCTCGGATTCAAATCCCTGACTGTCTAGTCTAGTGCCTTGGCACGTCCTCCCAGTGTGAAACGCGCTAAATGAAGGTAATATTATATTATAACATTTGGGCTGGTTCCCATTTCTTCTCCAGTCAAATTCCACCCAAGCTGCCTTTCACACTCCCAGTTCTCAGAGTCTGTATAAGTCCCATTGAGTGCACACAGATCTGACAATTGCCAAGGAACGCATTATTAGGAGAAGTTCACTTAAACCTCTATAGTCCATTCTCCAGGCCACTGCATGTCTGCCTGCATTCAGCTTCTGTTGTGAATTGTGCGAGCATTTGGGCTACATGGTATCTCCCTGCTTAGAGACTGTGGTGACAATGTGAATAAGCAGCATTTGGCTTGTCACAGCGAGAGAAATCAATTTTCATAAAAATCGGTTCCCTATTTGCTGCTGGGTTCCTCTTTGACCATAATGCTGGGAGGATGTGTTTCATGGTTTCAATGAGGACAAGTGTGAGCCAGGATCATCAAAGCACTTAACTCTGGGCACATATATTATTTCTGATCATCAAAGCACTTAACTATGAGCACATATATTATTTCATGACACACCCAGAATCGTTTCACTGTGCTTAATAGGGAACAATAAAACCAAACAACAAATTTATGTTTTCACATTGGGAGGACATCCCAAGGTGCTGGACAATTGGGTTTGGCCCAAGCTTGGGTTCGGATTCAGGAGTGGGTGAATGTGGGATGGGTGATGTATGGGGGGGTGGGTGAAGGTGGGAAGTGGGGTCGTGGAGATGACTGAAGGCACGATAAAGAGAAATGTTTTGAATTGGACATTGGTGGAAATGAAGAAATGGGCTCCTTGAGAAGTTCCAAAGAGTTGGGGCAGGTAGACTGAAAGCCCAATCGGTCAATATATATGTAATCTTTTTGACTAACGGTGGTATGTATTATATATGAACAGCGCCTTTCTTATCGGGAGGTGCTGAAACTCCTTCTGTGCAGTCAGATTCTACGATTGTATGAAGGTGTGCAGCAACTGACCAAGTAGATTAAGGGAAATGTACAAACATCATTAAGACTCTGTTTCATGTTAAAGAGGTTTATTTTCTGTACATTTAAAAGGTACATCATCTACAAAATTATTGACTTAATTTGCACTGGAAGGTATAAAGTGAGAGAGTGCCAGTTAACTCCACTGGAAAATCCTTCCTTTACCATATTTGTTTTAGCATCAGCACCTTATGTCATTGCATAAAGATCTCAAAGTGTAACTCAGGAGTTTAAAGTATAGTGACTCTGTTTTTGTCAGCAAATAAAGAGATTGTATTCTATAATAAAATTATTTTTGCATTTAATAAAGTGTCTTACCAGGTCTTTGAAATGTCTCAAAGCAGTTCACATAATACATTGTAAAGTGAATTGACTATAAATATTGTGGGCGAAGCGCAGCAGCCAATTGCACACAGCAGAGTCCCACAAACAGTTATGCATTGAAGTGAAAATATTTTATTATTATTTTTGAACGAATTATACCTCGGAAAGGTGATCTGCCATTCGACTAACAATCAGGTTCCTACTTACTTAGATAAACAGAGGCACGTGGACTAATGAAATTTGCCCAACATTTTACCTTGCAGGAAATCAAACCCAGGTCTCTTGCTTGCTTGTGAGGTGAGTGCTTTAACCACTGAGCTACAGAACTCCACAAATTCTCTTTATTTGCCTACAAATATTCTGGCATTTGTGCTATTCCCATAATAAAATAAACTGTTAAAAAAAGTTCATTCTCAGGGAAACTGAAATCAGAATAAGATACTGAACCAGAATAAGGTTCTGGTATTCTCTACCTCTCACAGACCAAACAGGAAGGAATACATTGAAAGATCATTTGAATCTTTATTCCACTTTGGTCAATTCATCAGCATTGGAATACGTTTGGAGAAATTTCTTTAATCTGCAATCTTCCTGTTGGTTCCATCCATTCTCCTCAGTTTTCTGGAAGACGAAAATGCTTTTGCAACATTGGCTTAAGGTTGGTTGTTCAGCTTTGATATTATCCTGTGCAGTTTTGCCGTCCTGCACATCGTCCACAATGAAGATGATAGATTCCTTTCCTGTAAATAATAATAATAATCTTTACATTTATTACAGTGCCTTTCACGTCAGGCAGACATGCAAAGTGCCTTCACAGCGTTTATTGTGAAGTGTAGAACTGTATATTTTGTTGGTCAATGCATCAGGCAATTTTGTGAATAGCAATATCCCATAAACAGCTATGAGGTGAGAGATGCTTTTACTTGGGATCTCTTGGCCGAGGAAAGAGAAATTTCCTTCGATTTTTGAATAGCGCCACAGGATTGTTCATGCCCTCCTGAAAGGCACAGACAGAACCTTGTTTTCATGTCTCGTCTGAAGGATGGCACCTTTGGCAATCGAACATCCACCCCCAGCATTGAATGGGGCGTCAGTTTACACTATGATTTCAAGTTCAGATACAAGACTTGAACCCACAACCTTCTGACTCAGAGGCGAGAGCGCTACCACTGAGCCAGGCTAACAACATAAAGCAGAACCCTATGGTCAGATACTAACACAACTAACACTGTAAACACTCCAACACACTACCCCGATTGACGGGTTTTGAGTAAAGGCAAACTATTGCTGTTAATGGATATGGAGCAGTGAGGACACACACAGATGTGCATTGCACCTACCGGCTTTGTTTGATGTGCTCTTCAGGACATTGTCGTAGAGGGAATCATAGACATCCGTCAAATTCATTCGTCCCTGGAGAACTGAGTGGTGGAACACATACAGGGTTTTGTAATTCTTGAGGCCCAGAAATATTCGAGCTTCTCGGATCAATAGTTTCTCAAGAAGCAGGCATGTAAGTCCACAACAACCAGGAAACACCCAGTGGTACCCCAGGTCTCTAAGTTCAAAGCATATGATCCCCAAGCAGATATATCGCCATCCCCTCCACATCCAGCATTTCCTCAACAAGGACGGATCTAGTTCAGCTGAACTCAGTTCTGAGTATTCCACCTCCACATGATCGATCAGCTTCAGTTCATTGAAAACACGTGCAAGGTACTGTTGAGAGCACAGGGATCTGACAATTGCCAAGAACCATATTGGGAGGGAAGGTTTACTTGAACCTCTGGAGACCATTTTCCTGCTCACTCACTGTCTGCCTGCGTCCAGCTTCTTGCCTGCTGTAAAGTGCAGGAGTGTTTGCGTTACAGGTTATCTCCCTGCTTGTGTGGGTGTGGTTATAGTGTGAGCTGGTAGGGTATGGCTTATCACAGAGAAGCCTGGTTTTATGTAAATTATTTCCTTATGCTGAAGTCTTGCAGCTCAGTGATTAGAGCGCTCGCCTTGCAAGGGTGACACCTGGTTCAATTCCAGGCAGGGCAAAACCTTGGGCCAGTTTCCTTACTCCACACACAGCATAATAATAATCCCTCCAAAACAAAAAAAATAAACTGGTCATTTTCAATCCACGATTGTTTGTGAGACACTGCTGTGCGCAATTGGCTGTCGCGTTCGCCCACAAATATACAGTCAATTCACTTTACAGTGTGTTCTGTGAAGCGCTTTGGGACGTCCTCCCGACGTGAAAAGCGCTATATCAAATGCAAGGATTATTATTGAAGGAGCGGTGAAACGTAGACAAACCTGTCTTGTTCCAGTCAGTCAAGTTAAAACTGAAAATCATATTTGCGAAGCAGCTTTTCACTGGCTTTCACTTTTGGCTATCCTCCCTTCCTTCCCCCTCCCACCAGCACATCGGCTCCCACTGTTCAGCACCTTGGGTAAAAGGCGCTTTGTAAATGTAATGTAACAGTCCGGAATTTTGTTTGGTCCTAAACGATTCTTTCTACCCTATATTCATGCTGTGACCCGCTCTGCCTTCTCCCACCTCTACAACATCACTCGGCTCTGCCCCTATATCACACCGCAAGCTGCGGAGACCTTACATGCATTCATAACACTGTACAAACTCCATGCACGTCAGCCTTTTCAAATCCTCCCTTTAGAGGCTGCAGATCATCCAGAACTCTACAGCCCGGCTCAGCCCAGGGATCCGTTACTGTAAAGTGCTCTCAGACGCCGTCCGGCATGCAGGGCGCTATATAAATCCAAGTTGTTGTTGTTGTTGTCCTAGCACCTTGGGATGTCCTCCTGATGTGAAAGTCACTATTCAAATGTAATTTGTTGTTATTTTTGTTGTTGTGTCAGCCTGGCTCAGTTGGTAGCACTCTTGATTCTAAATCAAAAAGTTGTGTGTTCAAGCCCCACCTCGGGACCTGTAAATCACAACGTCTAAACTGATGGTCCAATACAGTGCTCGGGGAGCTACAATGTTTGAGTTGCCATCCTTCGGATGAGATATTAAACCAAGGTCCTGTCTGCTCGTTCACGAGGACTCAAGTTGTTTAAAGATTTGAAAAAATAAATTAGTTTTATCCTGGTCAACAATATCCCCCCAAAAATTGGTTACTCACATAATGGCTGTTTATGATTCATTGCTGCTGCCTTTGCCCAAAAAGCACAGTCACTACTCTATAAACAGTTTACAGCAGTGAAGCATTGTAGAATATCCTCCTGGTGTTAATAATCTTTGCATTTGATATAGCACCCTATCACATTTTCGAAGCGTCTCAAAGTGCTTCACAAAATATACTGTAAACGGAATTGACTGCATGTTTTGTGGGTAAACAAATTGTACTGAATGGCTGATTGTTATTATTTGCACACAGCAGTGTCCCACAAACAGTCGTGGATTGAGCGATCACATTTTTATTATTTTTAATTATTGTTTACTTTGAAGAATAATTATCCCCAGAAAAGTGATCTACCAATCGACTTCAACCGTATTCCTACTTATTGCTTGGTAAACAGAGGCATATGGAGTAAGGAATCTTACCCAACATTTTTGCAATGCTGGAAATAGAACCCAGGTCTCTCGCTTGCAAGGTCAGGGCTCTAACCACTGAGTTACAGGACCCACGACCCACTGCTTTTTACTGATTGCCTGTCAGCGATCAATTCCTGGATGAGCTCAACTTTCTCCAGTTCAATTGTTGATAAAACCGGGGCTCTCTTGCTTGGCTCCGAATAGCGCCTTTTTACCTCAAGTGCTGACCACATTGACCTGTACTAATGCTCACTCCACCTCATGGTGCACAGAATCCTGAACCGTGATTCAACATTTCTCCCTTGGCTTTCTCTCACCTCTGCAATATTGCGCAACTCTGCTATGACCTCTTCTCTCACCATCCAGATGGCTCATGTCCTCAATTCACTTTTTCATCATATCCAGGCTTAATTAATCCAACATTCTGCTCATCCGACTTCCCAGGTCCTCCCTACACAATTTACAGAGCAGCCAGAACTGTGGATGTCCTCTTCCACAGCAGGGTACATAAGCTCAACACGACCAACGACATGTGGCCTAACCAATATCTTACCCATATTCCTCATCACTTTATTACCTTGGATTCAATGGATTCAATTGGCTCTGGCTGTGAAATAGAGCTGCTTGCTGATATAACTCAGGATTTACATCAATGTTCTTGTTTCAATGCAATACAAATTTACAATAGCAACAACACATTTATATTTTTACAGCACCTTTCAAGTCGAGAGGATGACACAAGTTTCCTGACAGTCAAGGGTTTGTATGCAATCTGCGGTTGCATTCAGAGGTACTGTGTACAACGGGTACCTGTTGGAATATAACAATATAAGGAATTTATAATGTAGTATTATTCAGGATTATGTTGTGCGAATATGTATTAAATGTATGATTTTATGTTAAATGTTGATAGTCATGGGATAGGACACATCTGGTTTTCTCTGTTTCTGAAGGAATAACAAGACAGCCTTGGTAAAGGGCAGGAGGTCACCACTTATCAGTAAATAACAACAAGCCACAGAGGTAACTGTCTTGATTGTACAACTCTGTGTTCAGACCTTTATTGGTTAACGGTGAGGATCCAATTACGGTAGAAAAAAACTCAACATATATAAGGTGTACACCTTATACAATTGTAAAGGGGATAAATTGACCAACGTTGTGGTCAAAGGAAGTTCTTCAGGTGGACCTTAAAGAATATGAGGGAAGGGCTGATGGGTGAGCAGTTCTGGAACAGAATTCCAGAGAGTGAGGCCAAAGAGAGATGGAAAGCTAGACCACCGATGATGGTATATATTACATTTACACAGTACTTTCCTGATCCAGAAGATGACCTAAGTTTCTGAAGAGAGTATTGGCTTGGCACCTGAACTGGAGGGTGGGAGCCAAGACGGGTAGGGAAGGGATAGTTTATTGTCAATATAGTGTGCAGGCATGTTCAGGCGAGTGCTACAGGAACTGGGAGAAATCATAGAAGTGTGATAGGACCGTGTGGAGCATTTATGATAGCCAATTCAAGGTCGGTGTGTGGGAAGTGACAAGGAGAGCTGGGGAAAATGCGAGGAAGTTGTTTCAGCATGGAGCCAACCTCCAGAGTGGAGACAGCTTTCCTCTGCAATCTTTAAGAAAGAGCAGTACGTTGTGGCAGGAGCAAGGTCAATGGGTATCAGTGAAGTTCTCAAGGAAGAAGGCCAACAGATCATGAGTACCACGTACTGACAGATAATTGACATGCAATTCGCGGGCATCTGTTGTATCCATGTGCGGAGATGCCTTTTTTTTCAAAATACCACGTTGAATCAATGGTCAAAACTGCTTGATTTCCCAAACTGCGGGTCAGTCGAGTGTTTGCATTGAATCTGTGGTTGGATTCAGGATGGCTGGTGTACAAGAGTAAGGGCAATAAATTGACAAAAGTTGTGGTCAATGAGGAAGATCTTCAGTCAGTCCACGATGGAGGCAAGGCAAAGGATGATGTGAAAAGCTTCTGGGATGGAGTTCCAGAGAATGCTGGCAGAGATACTGAAAGCCAGACCTTCAACTGTGGTACATATCATGCAGAGAGAAAACTTGGTGCGATTCTTGTTTAATAATAGTAAGTAGGATCCAGGCTGTCAGTCGATTGGTGGATCCCATTTCGGTGAATATAAACCCTTAAAAAAAATTACTATAATTTTGTCACTTAATCCAAGACTGCTTGTGGGACACTGCTGTACACAATTGGCTGCCGCATTTCACCTACAAAATATAAAACAACAAATAAGTTACATTTACATAGAACCTTTCGTATCAGTAGGACACAGTTAATTCACTTTACAGTATATTCTGTAATGCGCTTTGAGATGTCTTGAATATTATAAATTGCTGTATCAAATGCAAGGATTATTAGAAATTGCATTTACACAATGCCTTTCTCGTCCGGGTGATGATCCAAAATGCTGGGCAGCCAGGGATTGACATCTGAGCTGAAGGGTGGGAGCCAAGAAGGGTGGGGAAAGGTAAGAATTGTCTTTTATTCTATAAAGCAATTTATCCAATCAACCAGGATTGTGAGCAAAGTCCTAGATTGCCAGACATTTACAGTAACTTCATTGTCAACTTATAGTAAATCATTTTCCATAGTTTATTGTCAATATAACTGATAGTTAAGTTGATAACTTCATCAGCTTTGATATGAGATAGCTTTACTGGCATGATGTGTGTGGATTATTTTATTACTTGAGTGTAAATGTAAATGACTCTATCAGAGTATATCGCTCCAACCCTGGATGAGGTTACAGACACTCAGACCCTCAGCATTCAGTGAGTGAAGAGTTTATTGTTGAATTTCCATTTCCATGACGAGGGTTAGACGGAAGATGCATTGACAGATATAATTGCGGGATAAATATTTATTTGTACATGGAAGAGTGCCAGTAGCTGCAGGGTCCCTGTCCTGTCCAGGCCTCTAACTGATGCCAGTGTTTGCACCCCATTGAAATCTCCTGACTCCGATGTGAAATTGCTTTTTGTTAAAAAGGCCACAAAAATACTATTATCAAAGAAATTTACTGTCTGAAAGGTAAACAATAATAATAATAATAATAATCCTTGCATTTGATATAGCGCTTTTCACGTCGGGAGGACTTCCCAAAGCGCTTCACAGAACACACTGTAAAGTAAATTGACTGTATATTTGTGGGCGAACGCGGCAGCCAATTGCGCACAAATGTCCCACAAACAGTCGTAGATTGAAAATGACCAATTTATTATTGTTTTGTTTTTTTGGAGGGATTATTATTAGGCTCTGTGT